TCTGCGACGGCGAGCTATTGCAGCAGCTGGCAACCCAGCAGGGACAACATGTGTCCCATGAAGCTCCTCAATTTGACACGTGGAAAGCTGTGTGTGTTCCTCGTACTTACTTCAATCTTTCTGTTCTTGACCTGCACTTCTTCCTCGAATCCACCACAGATGAATCGGATTCTCGCTTCAAATTCCACTGCCTACATGGTACTGTACTGTTCTCTTGAGTTAATATTGTATTGTTGTTGAATCACCGTGTTGTTACTGCTGTATTTTACTGAATTCGGATAAATCATAAATGGGAAAAAAACTGAATTAGGGCCTGTTTGGGTTCTGAAAGTCAAATTAGAAGAGGTGTACGAGGAAGTCGACTTCCTGAGGATTGAGGAACCACTTGTACACGAAACAATGTAGAAGTAGAAGCTCCAAACAGGCCCTTATAATGACAATGAAGATGTTTGGCCCGCTTAGAAGCATGATTTTCCCTGCTTTTGTGGGTAGTAAAATATAATGAAGATGTTTGGCCCTTATAATGTCACAGAACTATTTGCATTTCTGTCATCAGGGAATTGATGTATTTATAAGTGCAAAGTTCCAGGATTATAATACAATTTATGAGAAGGAAAACTGATTTTAAAATTGATTTTATTGCACCTTGAATCCCAAAAGATACCATCTGACATTTGTAAAACAGGTTAGTACATATAAAAAAATCTGGAAAATGATGTTTCCGGTAGTCTGGGTTCAATACCGGATGATTATGTCCAGGTAATGTACATTGAAACAAGGATAATTATAGTTGAAATGCTTTCCATTTTCTTGTGTGCGAATTGGTGATCCTCTCTTGCATAATTTGACCAGGACAGTGTGAAGTTGGTCTCAATAACCATAATGAACACTCTGAAAAGATTGATTATGAGTGCCTACGTACTGGATTCAGGTTGTTGGATGCAGACATTTTCAACGATACTAAGGTATTCTATTTTTATATTGAATAGTTATTGTTTTATTGTATTTCTTTAGATTTATGGTGAGTGAGATTTAAAGTGAAATGAAACTGCGCTCTTATGTTGGCCTGTAGATGCTGGAGATTGAAAAGGGTGTCAAGGAACTTAACATTCCTATTACCCGAGCCAATCGAAAATTAGTTGCTTTTGTTGATGGAGGATTAGAGAATCCGTCTTATTTGGTTTTCAATTCTGCATGGAACATTGATCATGCAGAAAATGCAAGTAAACGATTCAATTATCCTACTCTATCTGGTGTACAAAGACCCGAAAACGACGAAGATATTGCCTTCATGAGTGTGAGTCTCTACTATTTCTGTAAATTAAGCTGAAAGTTGGGAATCTAAAATCGATCACGTGTCTGATGTATCATTACCAACTCTGTGTTATGCTGTTGGATCAGATTCTTGAACTTGGGCAACTTATTAGGAGTAAAGTAATTACATCTGAGGAGCTTACTGGGATCTTTCTAAAAAGACTAAAGAGGTATCATGAACTCATTATCAATGAAATTACTCTTCAATTTTCGTCGCGACATTTGATTCATGTTAAATCATTTGATGGATTACTGCAGATACGGCCACGTCCTTGAATCTGTTGTCACTATTACAGAAGAATTGGCTTACAAGCAAGCAAAACAAGCTGATCAACTACTTGCACAAGGAACTTATTTGGGTAGTTCCCTTTTTTGCTTATAAGCAAACTGTTTAGTTAGCCTGACTTGCTCATATGGTATTTCTTGGTGGTGAGGCGTGAGTGGAATTATTTGTTTCACAGATTTATTGGGCTTTTCTAATTTAATGTGGATGTCAATTGTTTCCCATCTCCTTTTCAGTTCTTGCTTCGTGTTTTTCGTTACCTTCATTCATAATTAGGAAAGGCAAACTTATGAGTAGATATTGGACTTCTCCTCTATACAGGTCCTCTTCATGGAATTCCATATGGGCTTAAGGATATTATCGCCGTACCCCAATACAAGACAACTTGGGGCTCTAAATCTTTTAAAGATCAAGTCCTTGACATTGAAGCTTGGGTGTATAAAAGGTATTCAGCTAATATGAAAAATATTAGATAATTTAGATTGGCATATACCACTTTTCCAGTTTATGATGATAGCTAATGCAGGCTTAAGTCTTCTGGGGCAGTTCTTGTTGGAAAGCTTGTGACGGGTTCACTGGCATATGATGACATTTGGTTTGGGGGTAGAACAAGAAACCCGTGGAATATTGAGGAATACTCCACGGGTTCATCGGCTGGGCCAGCTGCCTGCACCTCTGCCGGTGTGTTGTCGTTTATTTTGATGAAATTTTTAATGAACTACTCGTCTGTTTTCCAATAACTCTTGTTATCTTTCATGTTTAAAATGTTGAAAATAAAAGATTTTGTATCTCAACCTTTTACTTTCTACAAAACTTTATTTATATTTAAAATAAGTTTACCGGAGCTTTTTCCCAAAGAGGATAAGCTTACTTGAAGCTCTCTCGGATGCATATTTAAGCATATGAAAGATGGCTTAGTCAATGAATTTTTCTCTTCAAGGTATGGTTCCATTTGCAATTGGTTCAGAAACTGCCGGATCTATGACTTATCCTGCTGCCCGTTGTGGCGTGACTGCATTGCGTCCAACTTTTGGAACTGTTGGTAGAACTGGAGTAATGAGCTTATCTGAGAGCTTGGTAGCAGTCCTCTCTTTCCAAAATGCAATTTTCCTATTTTGACTTGCTCGTGAAATTTAGATCCTACCAATTTGACAGGATAAACTCGGCCCTTTCTGTAGAAGTGCTGCAGATTGCGCAGTTGTTCTGGATTACATCCGAGGTAAGGATCCTGATGATCTGTCATCACGGGACATCCCTCTTACTGATCCATTTGCTGTTGATATAACAAAGCTAACTGTCGGATATCTTGAAGATGCTGAGATGGATGTAAGTGTTTATCTGATAATTGAGTACAATTTCTCTGTAAATGTGACACCATATATACATGAATCTTTTCCACGATGGCTAATACAGGTTGTCCAGGTGCTTCGTTCAAAGGGTGTTAATATGGTTCCATTTAAACTGAATTATACTGTGGAATCTGTTCAAGGAATCTTGAATTTTACGATGGACGTAGATATGTTGGCTCACTTCGACGAGTGGCAGCGGTCTCACCAAGATGATGATTATGAAGCTCAAGATCAGTGGCCTGTTGAACTTCGCCGAGCACGAGTGGTATCTGCAGTAGATTATATTCAAGTAAGTCATATAGACTACAAAATTTTATTCTTTTCAAATCTTGTATTTGTTTTAATGTTTTAGTAATCAAGCGCCCACTGTTTTCAAACATGTGGAGCCAATCCCGATATGATCCTATAATAGATCTTTCTCAACCAAACTCTTGGCTCATTCACATGTCAAAACAAAAGGGAACGTAGCCAAATTTCGATACAAACTGATGGATGCAAACTAATAGCACGCTCTAAATACATTTTACATTTTGAACTTGTTGATTGAGATTCAAATATGTGGCTACTGCTATTTTTAGATCCAATAAACTTGAGCTCTTTGTGGAGCACTGAAATGGCGAATTTCTGTTTGTAGGCACAGAGAACGCGTGGAAAACTAATACGAGAAGTAAAAGAGAGTTTCAAAGTAAATGCATTCATTGGAAATGCTACCGACTGGGAACGGGTTTGCATGGGCAATCTTGTAGGCTTGCCTGTAATTGTTGTTCCAACTGGATTCAAGAAAATATCTGATGCCCCTTCAAATGTTACGCGGAGGAGAACTACAATAACAACGGGTATTTATGCACCACCAGACCATGACCACGTAGTAAGTTCTCGGACTGTCGTCTTTTGATCTACATTTCACTCTTTTAGTTAACCATTTTTGTATTGAACCAACATATCAGAAAGAGTTCTATCCTGTTGACAATAGATAAAATGCAGTTCTAATCATATATTCATACTGAAATATCTTCTTAGATTAAGATGTTACCATCCGGATAAGCAACCTATAAGCAACTAGAACAGTTCAACAAAACGAGATGACTTTATTCCTAGTTTTTGTGAGGTATTAGGTTAGATGGATGCTATTGATGTAGAATGGATGGTTGAATGGATTAAAGGAGAATTTGATCGAAAAGGAAAAAAGGGAATAGTGCAGGTATGGCAGTCGAGTTCCGATTTGGGCCCATAATACCATTCCGGAATGAGAATGACGAGACAAGTAGAACTCATAACACTGTGACATACGATGGATTTTGGCCATCCAAGTTCGTTTAGGACTCGAAAACTGCATTTAAAGTTTTAGTACTATTTTGTCATTTAGCCCCTGTTTGATCTGCATTATTATCTCATTAAAATGAAAAATATAACCGTTATCCATCACATCAACATTTAAATTCAAACTTTCTATCTCTTATGTGGACCTAAATAACGACTATATTTTTTATTCTCATTCTACAATAATTTGGCTCAAACAGGGCTTTAGTTTATTTTGAATTCTTTTCAATTTTAGTTTGTTTAAACTAGATTTTCATGTAAACCCTTATAAATAACGGTTCATTTATCGTTTTTGATCTTCTTACATTAATAAAATTTTGTGAGTTTATTTCTTCATAATTTGGTGGATTTAAAAAATTGCGTCCTTAAAAGTTTTCGCTTTAACTATTCTGGTACTCACTATGCATTCTTTTATATTACGTGCAGGCTTTGGCATTGACAATGGCGTATCAATCAGTCACAGATCATCACAAGCAGCGTCCACCAATTGATGACCTTGGGCCAAATGATCCGATTCCGAACCCTCCCAGAGTTATCGTGCCCCCAAGACAATTGCGTTGATACAATCACTGTTTTTCGTTTTTGGGAACTTGTAACAGTTGCATGATCTGGGAATCTCTTATATGTTGAACTATTGTTGTCCCACAAATACGACTTGCATTGCATTTCAATTTGAAGAAAATCAGCTAGAAGTTGATCTAGCAATTCATCAAAATTCAAGGACACTGTATTCTGAAGAATTAGTTCCTCAATTTCAACACTTAAATAAGCAATCAATAGAAAGAAGACATCATAATTTTCAAAAATTATCCTCAATTTCAAAAATACCCATCTTTTAACGTAAAGATTAACACATCTCAATAGATGGCGTCGTTTACATTGACATACACTAATTAACATAAAAAAAAAACTAACAAAAAAATAGAAAGAAAGAATGGGACTAATCATGAGGTGGAAAATTCAAGATGGAAAAAATGATTCAGCAATGGCTGGCAGCGCATTTTGTCTACCTTCTTCCCTAATTTTCATAGCACGAATGATTTCTATCCTTGTACCTTAATTCTCACGCCTGGTGGTCCTTCTACGAGGAGCAGCAGGAACTTCATTCTGCTCTTCCTTCTCCTTCGAGCTTTCCTGATTTTTGGAAGTTTCAGCAGCATCGGATTTTTTTGTCTCTGTCTTTGCAGGAACTTTTGTCTGCATTCAACACACTAATATTTAATGAACAGTATGTGAAATTATGGCATGTATGGTAAGGACGACACAATAGTATTTAACATATTAAGAAATAAGGTATGCAAATGTTATCATTAAGTATCCATCTGTTTAAAAAGCATGCCCTATTGGCTATTGGTATGAGAAACCATATGCATTTTAAGACACAACAAGAGGATAGGGAGACTCACCGGCTTTTTCCCACCGAAAACAAGCTTCAATAAAATTGTGAAGAAAACAACAACAAAGGAGATTAGGACTCCGATTGTGAGGTTGGGCTGTTTCTCGGCCTTTTCAAGAAGATCCTGCAAGGAAACAGTCTTAGGCAATTGCAACATTGGTGACAACTCATTTCCACGAAAGCAAAATTCTGTGCAGGACTTACCAAAAATTTAAACTTGTGATCGCCCAAGAAGGGGAGGTCAGCAACCTTGTAAAGGTAGTAGAACACCACTTTCTGAAATAATTAACCAGAAAAAAATTATGATTCAGAAATAGCTATGAGTAAATTGTGGAATGCAGGAAAAAGAGGAATGCCTCACTAATTACCTGGACACCCTGGAGCCCTTCAGAATCAGCAGCTTCTTCAGCCTTCTGTTTCTCTTTCTCTACATCAAATTTAGGCTTCCATGCAGTTCCCCGGTATGATTCTGCGACACTTTCATCAGAAGCTATTAAAATATTGTCAAACAACAAACCATCTTGCATTGTCCAGATCTCAATGCCAATAGCTGCAATGGGATCAAAGTTTGGTCTATCGAGCTCAAAATAGTCAGGGTTTCCAATTAGCTGGGGCTTCCAAACACCCTTGTAATTGACATTCTCAATAAGGGGAGGGTGCCATTTTCCCTTGTAAGCAGGATTCCTCTTCATTGGCCTCTTCCACTCCCCACATCCAGGTGCCTCTTCACATTTGGGGTTATCAATTTTTGGAGCCTCCCATTCACCATCTTCTTCTTCATCCCAGTCTTCTGGTTTTGTAGCCTCGGGATCATCAATCTCCTCAGGCTCGTCATCCAACCATCCCTCAGGTTTCACAGCGTCCTCATCCTCAATTTCCATTGGAGCATCCTCGTTCCAATCATCTGGTTTCTTGGCATCTGGGTCTGGAATTTTTGCTCTCTCGTCCCAATCCTCAGGCTTCCTATCGTCTGGGTCGGGAATAGTTTTAGGAGGGACTAGTGGTGGCTCAAAGTCATCATTTGAGAGAAAGTTAGCCTTCTTCTTCTCTTCCCCATCAACCAATATTCTCAACTCATTATCAGGTTTTAGGATGGCTGTATAAACATGGGTCAATTTGTCAGAAGGCACCGATGGTGGATACTTGAGGTGGTGTTCAATATACTCTCCACTATTGGGATTCTTGTGCCTCAAGATGAAGTGAACCTTGTTTGTTGCTCCACATTTATCAGGACCAAACATTATTGTATAAGGTGATTCATTATCAAATTCTTTGGGAATCCATCCAGCACCCTGGGGACGGAGGTATTTGATATAAGCACCACCACATTCAAGGCCATTCTGAAGGCGAACCTCATACTGAAGGATGACAGTTCCATCCTTTAGGTCAATAGGCTCGTCAAGTTCCTTTACAATAGCGTACTTCTTGGCCTTATCACTCACAAGCAGACCATGATCATCATGCCCCTCACTCTTCACATGTTTCCATACACCTGAGAATCACACATCATATAAAATACAAAATGTCCTCTCAAAAAATTACACTGTTGTATTTAAACGCAGATTCGCTGCACAACCGTAAGGATTCAGCCAAAGAGATGTATTGTATGTAATCATGCAACATCACTATTAAAGCTAAAACCATAAGAGAGAGAGAGAGAGAGAGAGAGAAGTGAATGCATAATAGGACTTCAATAACTATCATTCATACACATTGTAGCAGCACGGTGTACAACAAACGAAATTCTAATCTTCCTACAATATACCAACACCCAATTGATTAATGGTGCGGCAGGCAATTCAATTCTGTGAAGGAAAAAACATATTCTAAACAAGAACAGTTATAAAAGCGTTTAGCTATCTCCAGTACAAACAAAATTCCCGAGGATATATATCATTAATGCAGACAACACTACAATTTTGAATTTCAGATCAGCTCCAGAAGGTTTCAGTAAATGTGCATCTAAAGATCGATAACATTATGCACCGAGTAAAATCATATTCATATCCGCAGGTAGTCTTAAATAAATATGCTTAAGAATTCAGTTAAGAGCCTTCACTGCATTACTATTTAAACTTCAATATATGAATTGTAATTCACTGGCATTATATGGCAATACTGAATTCATACGAATAAATCCGCGAATCTGAAATATGACGCTGATGCCTAATTTGGAGACAACCAGAAACGAATAACGACAGATGAATATTTAAACAAATTTCGTTATAGGTCCAATCAAATTTCACCTTTGTAATCCTCTTTCTCAGATACAATCCACCTCCCTTCGAATGTCTCATCAAAGGACTCGTAGAATGTCTACAAACGTCGAAATTATAATTAAAAAAATACATTAATGTCCAATTAAAACAACAGATCCATATATTTAAATCATGACACAGAAAGAAACACATCAATAACAAAATGTAGTACCACATCGTCGGAAGCGTAGAGCTGAGAAATGAAGCTTCCGATTAATAACATCAACACATTTTGAATAATACAAATCCTCCGTTTCCGATCTCCCATTACTGGAGCAAAAAATTCACAACTCCAAACTCGAAAGTAACAAATTGTTACTAATATTAAAATAATGCAAAATTTAAACTTTAGGCAATTAGGATACGAAATCTTCAGAAAGTTTTGGGAGTTAAATGCATTTTGTGTAGATCTGGAGAGCAAAGGAGTCCAGTCGTTTCAGCCAATAATATTTTTCCACCTGGGCATGCTAATGAGATGTTGCCACGTGGACTTAATAAGCTGCAACGGGTTAACTGTTACTTTGACTTGATCCATATTTCTATTTCCCTAATTTGGAAAGAAAAAGGAAAACCAGAAGCATCAGCAAAAAAGGAAACTGCAAACTTAGTCCTCTATTTATTGTCTATTTAAAAACTCAGTCTCCATACTTTCAAAAGCAGTGCATTAGCATTCGTTATAGTTGCAGAATGAGTTTCAATACAGAACGTCTTAATCTTCACGTCGTCACATTATCCTTTTGAAAAACATCTTCTTCTTTTTTGCTAAAAATGCATGTTGAAATAGTGATTTGATAACGAATGTGTGGTTAAAAATAAAGAATTTTTTTAGATTTCTTATAATGTTATTTTATTGAAGAATGTGTGGTTGAAAAAATAATATTATTTGTAGTCACTCATTATCGTAATCACCCTACGTGACATACCTGGGACGGTTAGTAATTTGATACATAAGGCAATAAAAAACTATCACATAAAATATAGAAAAACATATTTTGAAAATAATGGGAACCAAACAAGGACTTAATTTCAATTTTTTTTTATATATACAAGCCAAGTCGAGAACAAATTAAATTCATAGAATTCTACATATCAGGATTAAAAAACAATTTAACAAAAAGTAGAACAATTTTCATTGGGGATGGATGAAATGCACGTAACCAAATTAGGGTGCGTTTGACATGACTTTTACTTTTGCTTCCTGTCGAATAGTTTTTGAAGGAAGTTATCTTAATTGTTATTTAAAAACTAAAAGAACTTCCTATTTCGAAAGTGTTTTTAGAGGAAGCAACATGGGACCACTTTCCTCTCAAAACTCTTATAATTAGAAAAAACATTTTTTATAAAATTAATCAAACAAATCCAAAAACTCCTTTTGATTTTTCAAAGGCCATGTCAAACAGGCCCTTACTCATCGAAGTGTCTGCATGATATAAACACAGATGAATATAGTTATTTGGAAAAAAAAAAACCAATTAGAAAATCAAGAGTATGGACTACAAACCAATCGCCTAAACTCATATCTCACAAAGAACATAGAAAACTACTCGACTCCCATAAATCAGGAAAACAAATCTTGATCTAGGATAGTACAACTTAAATGGATAGAATAGGTTGTATGCACAATTTTTAAAAAATGTCAGAATGCAAATTGAAAATGTCCAATTAAAGAGTCGTGATCAATTTTAGCAAAGCTCAAAATAAATTCAAGTTTCACTATTTAACCAATATTCAAATGGTCAGACTCTACAGCTCCATTAATGTTTAGACAGTTTGATTTTCACCGTTCAACTAATCAATTGTTGTCACCCACAAATAGGAAAGATATTACAAATTAGATAGTCAACAATATAATTTCTGTTGAAATAGAACAGGACTCGTAAAATCATTTCATAATTCCTTTTCTTAGACACTTTCAAAATGGAGTCACCACCACCAGCCTTGACCTTACACCTTACGACCACCTTGCATATACTCTGCACGCAGCCAAAATGAACCCAAGAAACTGGAAAGAAGGCCGGCAATTTCTGAACTCTCACACCTCAACGGCTCCTCCTCCAACCTTAATTCTCTGCATATATAATGCATAAGACTAAGCTAAAGTCAAAGGGTCATTGAGGGAGAGAGTTCAGAGAAAGCCAACTTTCTGCAAATAAGAGGCAGGATATGGAGGAGAGAAGGGTTGCTCCGGCCCTACTCAGCACTCTTCTCTCCCCGGAAAAATCCGTAGTTGGTACTTAAATGGTTGCTCGAGAGGGGGCGATAATATGATACCTCGTAAGGGGGATTGTTAGAAAAGTACTAGCAAAATCTCATATCGGCTAGACATGGGGCAGCTAATTCACTTATATGGACAAGTTTTCTGCAAATAAGGGAGAGAGGAGGGGTTGGTCCAGCCCTATCTCTCTCTCTCTCTCTCTAAAGTATATATAATACTTATTTAGACATTGCACTTTCCAACCTCTTGGGACCAAAACTTCGTAGAAATTGTCATTATATATAATAATCAAACTATTATAAGTTTCTCTTAGCCTCCATTGGAAGTTAGGAACTGAGAGAAGATTACAAAGAAATTTCACTTAGCTTTTAGTCTAACATACAAGAGAACGTACCAATACTAAGATCTGAAGCAGGATACCAATTACTATGCATCCAGCTCATACTTGGGACGTGGCGCGTTGAACTAGGTTTTCTGTCTGCTCAATAGAGTGAACGGCCGTTTAGAAACAATTATATAACTGCTTTATGAATTCAGAAAAGTTACGGACCGTGGTGGATCTTTGATCCCGATCTTTTATATGGGGTTGACCTCCGGCTTATAGACACTGGGATCAGGGGCGGATTTAGGGACGGGCTGGTCAGTGCTACAGCCTGTCCCTTCCAGCCCAAATGCTGAAAAAAAAATAAATTTAAGTAAAAAAAAAAAAAGTTTTATGTGTGAATTTTTTTCTTTGCGTATTAGTCCGTGCTAAAAAATTTTCTGGATCCGCCACTGACTGGGATGCTCCGATCGTTATCCCAAAGTCATTTCAAATCAAACATTGATTTATAATCACTCCTCAATATTATTCACATATTTGGTGGGATTACTCACTTTTCTCGATATAAACCCATTATAGATTTGTCAAACGGAGACTCTGCTTGATTCATTATATCCAATAGATTATCAACATATTTGGTTAACCATGAAAAGTTATTTAAAACTTACTTTTAAGTAGCTTTTTATTTTTAAACATGGTTTACGAAGTTTTCTCCTACCTATACGCAACAAAAGTTCTTATTTTAACTAGTAGCTTATTTTTTAGTACTTATTTTTAAATAGTTACTTAGCCAAACATGCACTAAGAAGAGCGCTACACGATTAAAGAGAGGTAAAATGTTACTTGTAAAATATTTATTTATGTGTATGGACTGAATTATTGACTAGTAATATATTTGGTGGATAAATTTTTAAATTCACTAAAAAGTTGTTAACTTTAAATTTAGTGCTGTGTTTGGAACTAATCTATGATGTGCTGTGGACCTATGGTTTAAAAAATATTAAAAAGAAACTTTTATTAGTTATTTTACTTTTCAGAATGAGAAAATTCATTTGTACACTTTTGTATACATTAACTTTGACACTCTTCTCTCTCAAGAGTGTGGGGCCCATGATTTTTTAAATTGCGGGCCCCCACCTTCGTGAGAGAAATGTCATGCATGACGTACATCAAAGAGTGTATATGAAGTATGACTCTTTCAGAACTTGTAAAGATGCATTATTTTATATATCTATTTATATATTTAATATTAGATTGGACTAGACATCGGACTTCAAGTCACATAAATGATTAATTTATTTCTTTTTTTATGTCGCATATTCAGACCTTGCAATATACATGCTTAATATATGGCAATGAAATTACAGTAGATTTTCTAAGAAACTTCAATGCCTAAGTTGTAACATCCATGGCTGAAGAAATAGTCAAGATTTTTCATCCTACCAGGCTTGAAATCCCGTTTTCAGTAATTTGAATATTCACCACAAGGGTAAAAGAAATTTTGCATAAATTGACTTGGTAGAGCACAATTTATTTGTATTAAGAGTTTTCTTTTATTTTTTGTACCGTCTAATATTTTATATCGATGTTGTGTGACAAATAATACAGTGTCATATAATTTCATGTAGTGCGAAAAATGTGCTACGAAAAACAAGTGTATGGACATCTTAATCTTAAATTTACAAGTGATATAAGAAGTAAAAACTCGAGGAGTTGTTCTATAATTCGAAAGGGTTGAGAGAATATTTTCCACTGGAATTAAAACGACAATTGTTATGATTTGTCACTAGGGACTGTCACGTGGCCATCAAAATTAAGTTGTGGAACCTGATCCGACTCAACCACCTTATTTGAGGCCCCTTATCCGAGGCCCTGTTATCAGCAGATGCCCAATTACTTCCGAGGCTCTCAGCTCGTGACGGCCCACGTGCAATGATTTGCTCACGATGAAGATTTCTAATGATTGATGTGACCTTTAGGAAAAATGTATTTGTATCTTATATGTCAATATGGTGTAAAAGCATTAAATGCTTTGTAAAACTAGAAAGTCAACTTGATGGATAAGACTTGATGCTTTGGTCGAGGAGATGAGACCACGTGTAAATTGATTCAAAATGTCACAATTTCATTTGTAGTACTATAAATACCAACACCATTGTAAAGTGTTTGCTGATTTTAGGGTAGCCCAGTTATGGATCCAACTCACAGGCCCAAATCTTTGGTCTCACTAACTAGTTCGACATTTTAGAAGGATCTAGAATTGGTAAAAACGTGTCTTTTGTGTGAAGGCGTTTTTGGATCACAAGGGACTTCAGTTGATGGATGACAAGTGGTCATCAGTAAACGGTTAGATCAAAACTGATTGACTCTCTCATATAAATGAAAAGGGACGACTCTAGGGCTTCTAATTTTTAGATCTTGACTTTTTCGAGCAGCTTCCTTTCCCTAAAGAACTCTTTGATTTTCTCTTTGTATATTTTTATGTTTTGAATCTTGTGTGATTCTGTATATGAGAGAGTGGTGTATATGAACTCTTGTGTGAGCTCATATGGTTGTGGGAGGATTTTGTGCAAGCTGTGTCGATCGAACTGTGTATTCTGGATTTGTAATCTTTTGCCTATTTTTGGGCGGTTCTAGTGGATTGAGCTTAATCCTTAACGGATGCTCAACGGGGATTAGGCGTTAAAAGCGGTCGCCGAACCTCGAGGCCTTTGGGCCAAAAATTCTTGTGTTCTTGGGTTGATTATTTTCTGTTCTTGTTTATAAATCGATGCTTTTAAGTTTCTTTTGGGACCAACAACATTGTAACAATTTAAGAATAATGAAACTTTAATTACTCAAAGCAACCTATCTTATTCTCTTATCAGTTTATTACAACTACAAATCTTATTCTTATCGATTGATCATTATACAATCTCATTCTGTAAATCTTGTCAGAGTTCGAATAGAAACGTCTCGTGTCATTGAGCTTTTCCCACGTCCAATCTTTGGAGCGATCTCAATCGTAGATCCACCTTAACGTGCAGATATGACTTACGCGTGCACGAATGGGCTTGGTATCTGTTGAGTTCGTTTTTTGAGGTCAACAACAATTTATAATTTTTCACGAATATAATATAACAAAAATAAGAAAGAAAGGGCCACTACGATGTATTTATTGGTATATGACCCTGGAATCCACTTATTAACATTTGTATATTAATATTTAATGGACGTAAAGAAAAGTGAATCGTCTAATGAGTAATGACAGCACCATTCAATGATTTAGGCACGCCAGACCACCATAATTAAAAGCACAAAAACATGCATTTCCATGAGAACCACGTTAAATTGGCATTTTCATTCGGGATTATTAGGTTTAGGTTTTTTGTCCCTATTTTAAATAGTTAAAAAAAAAAAATTGATAAAAATTCAAGTCAGAGTCAAAACTAAACATGTACGTAATTTTGGCATTGCATCTTGTTAAGTTATTTTGACTATCTTCTTTTATTCAAGTTCAATGTTGACTTAGGAAAAATAGTGATAGAGCAAACCTTATTGTACTTGGTTGGCTCGAACGTTTATGAACAAGTGATGATGTTTATAGATGTTTCATCGAATTTTTTATGTTTTTTCATATTTCAGTTTGACAAATATTATTTATTTAAATTCAGATTTCAGTAATAAACTACTTAATCTTGACTTAATAGATGAACAAATAGCTTGATGACTCGATGAATCGTCTTGATCAACTATCGTTTGTGTTATTTTACTTTTAAGTAACCTATTTTGCCAAATATAAATTTCAAGATAACTTATTTTCTAGAAGTCAGTCCTGGGTTCTAACTTTAAAATAGAATCGAGAAAATTTTTAGTACTTCCGAAATATGGAACTCAATATGTCAGTCAATATTTAATGGGTGTTTGGTAGTGATTAAAATTAGATTTTTAGTAGATTGTGATAGAAATTTGTGAAATGCATGGTTGAAAAGTTGTGAGACCCATGAAAGATGTGGTTAATATTGATTGTTTGACTTTGATTTGGATTAAAATCAGATTTTAATCATAAACAAACAGGGCCTTAGTATATTCTACTATGGACTAGGGGGGACAAAGGTTGAAAGTTTTTTATTGTCACATTACAAATACTCACACCATATAACAATTGAAGGCTAATGAAACTTTAAATACTCAAAGCAACATATCTTATGCTCTTATCAGTTTATTACAACTACAAATCTTATTCTTATCGATTGATCATTATACAATCTCATTCTGTAAATCTTGTCAGAGTTCGAACAGAAACATCTCGTGTCATTGAGCTTTTCCCACGTCCAATCTTTGGAGCGATCTCAATCGTAGATCCACCTTAACGTGCTGATATGGCTTACGCGTGCACGAGTGGGCTTGGTATCTGTTGAGTTCCTTTTTTGAGGTCAACAACAATTTATATTTTTTCACGAATATAATATAACAAAAATAAGAAAGAAAGGGCCACTACGATGTATTTATTGGTATATAACCCTGGAATCCACTTATTATTTGTATATTAATATTTAATGGACGTAAAGAAAAGTGAATCGTCTAATGACATCACCATTCGATGATTTAGGCACGCCAGACCACCATAATTAAAAGCATAAAAACATGCATTTCCATGAGAACCACGTTAAATTGGCATTTTCATTCGAGATTATTAGGTTTAGGTTTTTTGTCCCTATTTTAAATAGTTTAAAAAATTGATAAAAATTCAAGTCAGGGTCAAAACTAAACATGGACGTAATTTTGGCCTTGCTTCTCGTTAAGTTATTTTAACTATCTTCTTTTATTCAAGTTCAATGTTGACTTAGGAAAAATATTGATAGAGCAAACCTTATTGTACTTGGTTGGCTCGAACGTTTATGAACAAGTGATGATGTTTATAGATGTTTCATCGAATTTTTTATGTTTTTTCATATTTCAGTTTGACAAATACTATTTATTTAAATTCAGATTTCAGTAATAAACTACTTAATCTTGACTTAATAGATGAACAAATAGCTTGATGACTCGACGAATCGTCTTGATCAACTATCGTTTGTGTTATTTTACTTTTAAGTAACCTATTTTGCCAAATATAAATTTCAAGATAACTTATTTTCTATAAGCAGTCCTGGTTACTAACTTTTAAATAGAATCAAGAATATTTTTAGTACTTCCGAAATATGGAACTCAATCTGTCTGTCAATATTTAATGGGTGTTTGGTAGTGATTAAAATTAGATTTTTAGTAGATTGTGATAGAAATTTGTGAAATGCATGATTGAAAAGTTGTGGAACCCATGAAAGATGTGGTTAATATTGATTGTTTGACTTTAACAATTAGATTTTAATCCGCAACAAACCGGGCCTGTGTTTGTTTGTCATCTAAGGCCCTATTTAATTGCATTTCAATTCCTACCCATGAAAGATGTGGTTAATATTGATTGTTTGACCTTGACTTAAATTAAAATCTGATTTTAGTCCGAAACAAACAGGCCTTAATTGACATGTACATTACGGAGTCCTAGTTAAATAGCGTAACCGGTTATTTAATACACGTGACTATTTAATATTGACAGATAGTATTGAGCACTCCATACACCGAGAGTACTATAAATTTTTCTATTTCTCATATGCTTCTGTTTCCAATTATCCTCCTATCAAAAAGGGCACATATCCAATGAGCAAATGAATCAACAATTTCCTGATATCCAATGATACACCATCCATGAAAATTATATTGATAGAATATTAATACAGCAAAAAATGGCAAGTTCCGAACAATTGGTATTTGTTGTGCATATACTAAAGTAGCAGAAGAGTACAACAATTACCTAGTACTCAACAATAGATATGTATCCTTAAATCTCGACGTAGTTAGTGAATCCCTGTTGCTATTCCGAGGGGGATCAAAATCTAATTAATGCCCAAACAATGACAATCAGTTTCGAAAATAATCTTATTCAACTTTCATCATCATCAGTGTTTTTTACCCAATGTGTAGCCATCTAGGCGTAGTTAAGCATCCATCATCTATTCAAGTTCTAGACTCTTTTTCATGGATTCGTAAACCAGATACGTAATGCTTGCTGCTGGTACAACTTTAAGAAGATTTGGGAATAGTCCTTTATAGAATCCCCTTAAACCTTCACGCTGAAATGTTCTATAGAATACATCCGACATTCCCTGGTAAGCAGCATCTGTATTCATGCGCTGAGCTTGCATTCTAAAAACTTTTACTTGTTAGCAAATGTGGAAGTAAATGAAATTGACCAAATGAACAAAATTGACTAGTAGAAAAGAACAAAATGAGAATATTTTACCTCGTTCTTATCACCTGCAGAGGGTAAACACACGTTGCCCCAAGTGCTCCTGAAATTGTTCCACAACCGAGTTGCACAAGAGGACCAGGGTCTGCATAACATTGGAAGTTTTTACAATTGGACGATCCTGATACATTTGATGAAATAAAAGACAAGCATGCGGAACAAGTACTCAGAGATAGAGAAAATGTAAGCAATACCACCCTCGTGAAGAATATATTTCTTGGACATATCTTTCAAGGTCTCATAGGCAGCTAAGTCAATGCCTGCATAAGGAATCATTCCAAGAAGAGATGGCACCAACCCTCTGTAAAATGCTCGAGGTCCCTCCTGAACCCAAATATCTTTAGATAATTTCCTCAGACTGGGCACATTTCCTCTTTCACAAGCATAAGTTTGTAATCGAGTTTTCACAAGATCCATTGGATAAATAGAAGTTTGTGCCACAGCCCCAGCCAATCCACCAGCAAGAAGTCGCCCCACAGTTCCTATATCCTCCTGCTTTTCACCTTTAGCATCTCCAATTATAGTTTTCAATGTTTCGTAAGTGTAAAACTTAATAGCACTTTCTGGTGCAACTTTCAACACATTTAACCCGTTACCCCGAAAAAACCCCCAAAAGCCACCTTCCTTCCATAATTTTTTTACTGCAGGAATAATAGCAGCACGATCAGTTTGTACTTGTAACACCACCTTTAGGCGATCAAGAGGTGCAGTTGCAGTACGAGAAGCAGCTCCTGCAACTCCACCTGCAATCAAATATTTGGTTGCATGAACATGCTTGCTGATGCCTTCAGGAATCACAGCTTGATCGCCAATATCTACAAGATATATCCTATGCAAATAGCGATATATGTTTTCTATAGTAGCATCGTGTGGATAAAGCAGAAGAAAATCTCTCCATTCTTCAAAAGTTATAATTCCATTATTGTCTTTATCAACATGCTCAACAAAATGAGCAAGTTCATCGTCATCCATTTCTATCCCTGCAAAAAGAAACTGCCATGGCTTATAAGATGAAGACAACTGATATGCTGAAAAATTCATCACTGGGAATAAAATAAAACTCCGATGACTTCATAATGTTCTTTGAGCAAGGAAATCACAGAGATAGCTGCCCCCACAAAGAATCAGCAAATACCGAAGCAAAGAAGGAAAATATTAAAAATAGAGGCTAATTGATATTCTTTGAGTTCTAATTTAAATTTCTATTGCAAAACTATAAAAGCAGAGTATGTCAGCTATTTATACGGGGGAAAAAAAATTAAGTGTTTTAATCAGGAAAAAATTACACACTAAAGGAGAAAATTATTTTAATACGTGGCAGACATAAGATATATGAGTCCTAATTTCCTACCAAAGAAACACAGAGAGATGACTGGATGCAGCAATTCCAGAAAAGGTGGAATTTTGGCATGCAAGAGACAAATTTAATAAAGATTAAATTCTATTATACACTGTCATTAATAAGCTTAAAAGGTCAGTTTACAGAACAATGATTAGACCTGCTATCATTTATGGTATTGAGTAATGGACTCTTAAAGAACAAAATGGACATAAGATAAGTGGATATGAAGATGCTAAGATGGCGTATGGTTATACTAAAATGGATAGCATAAGAACTGAGAAATATGCCAACAAGTACAGGAGCCACTCATTGAGGATAAATTAAAAGGACAACTCAAGTAGTTTGCAGATGTTTTTTGTAGATCTAAAGAGGCTCTCGTTCAAAGAGAAACAATCTCAAATAAAGCATGCCAGAAGCGGGATAGGTAAACCAAAACAAATGTGACCTGTGGTAGTTGCTGAGCATCTAAAAACTTTAGACCTTCGACTAGATCTAGCAATGAACTCAACCGAAAGGTGGAAATAGATTTTCATTGCTGAATCCAAAATTATTGGGTGCAGTGCTAAGTTTCTTATTGCTTTGTTGTTGTTGTACACTATCATTAACGTTTGTATAATAAAATTGATATACTAGTACATAGTTGTATAAATAGTTTGAAGAATTAAAATTACGACTACTCGAGAAGATTAGTGGTTTCTGAATTCAATAAGAAAAAAATCCATTTTAACATCTGAATATTAGAGGTAGTTGAAGGAGGACAATGTTCATAAAAATTGAGTGATGAATAAATATTGTTGGTTATTTAAACCATTGTCCTAAGTTCTGTTGGCATGGGAACCAAGAGGCAGATGAATAAGGAGGAAGCATAGATTTTCAAATTTTTACCACCTCTCTTTTGAAACCATGACCAGGACCCCATGTAGCATGTTGTGTGAAAATAGCATGCACACAGTGAATCAGAGTATTGCCTTGATCGCATAGATCAGTCCCTCCTTGACAGTTTCACTCTGCTTCATGCTTCCAACCACTACTATAAAAAATGCTATTCAAGTGGGCGGACAACTTCATATCAAGCTTAATCTAGGATAGGATTGGAGAAAACACTGATAGTAGACGGTGTGATCTTAAGTGCGCGACGGTGAAAGAGAGAGAGGACCGGAAAGTACAAGATAAGGGTTAGGGAGAGCCCGATCACTCTCCCTCCTGTATACATAGGATCACTCTTCTCCAAATACACAGTCCCTATCCAGCCCAGTCTCCTCTATCTGTAGCCTTGATATACTTAAATGCCAGTATTGTAGGCGAGAATGGAGGACAAAATGTTCCATGGTGTCATTGTTGGTTGTCGGAAGCTTTTAACAATTTTGAAGTTCTGTACAGACTGTTTTGTGGGCTTAAAGTTTATTTTGAGGACCATGTTTTCTTTCTGTAATGTACATTTTATGTAAACCATGTTTTGAGTTGTATATTTTGTTGTGTAGTTACAACTGTGTAAATTATCTTATTTATGCACAAGTTAATGTACCTTTGAGAATTATATGTGATTAAAGGGCTATATCATCTACACACATCATTCAAGCAAGGATTGACAGTCTAAAATATCCACTATCTTGCCAGATAGAACTTGTTTATACATGATTTTTGGACTCTTTTTATGGGGGTGTTTGACACCCATTTTAGTAGAAAAATTAATTTTTGAATAGTGATTGATGGGAGAATGTGTGGTGGAAAAGTGATGAAAAGTTTTAGATTTGTGTGTAATATTATTTTATTTGGAGAATGTGTGGTTGAAAATAAGTATTGTTTCTTAAAGAACAAAATGGACATAAGTGGATATGAAGATGCTAAGATGGCGTGTGGTTATACTAAAATGGATAGCATAAGAACTGAGAAATATGCCAACAAGTGCAGGTGCCACTCATTGAGGATAAATTAAAAGGACAACTTAAGTAGTTTGCACATGTTTTTTGTAGATCTAAAGAGGCTCTCGTTCAAAGAGAAACAATCTCAAATAAAGCATGCCAGAAGCGGGATAGGTAAACCAAAACTAATGTGACCTGTGGTAGTTGCTGAGCATCTAGAAACTTTAGACCTTCCATTAGATCTAGAAATGAACTCAACCGAAAGGTGGAAATAGATTTTCATTGCTGAATCCAAAATTATTGGGTGCAGTGCTAAGTTTGTTATTGCTTTGTTGTTTTTGTACACTATCATTAACGTTTGTATAATAAAATTGATATACTAGTACATAGTTGTATAAATAGTTCAAAGAATTAAAATTATGACTACTCGAGAAGATTAGTGGTTTCTGAATTCAATAAGAAAAAATCCATTTTAACATCTGAATATTAGAGGTAGTTGAAGGAGGACAATGTTCATAAAAATTGAGTGATGAATAAATATTGTTAGTTATTTAAACCATTGTCCTAAGTTCTGTTGGCATGGGAACCAAGAGGCAGATGAATAGGGAGGAAGCATAGATTTTCAAATTTTTACCACCTCTCTTTTGAAACCATGACCAGGACCCCATGTAGCATGTTGTGTGAAAATAGCACGCACAAGGTGAATCAGAGTATTACCTTGATCGCATAGATCAGTCCCTCCTTGACTGTTTCACGCTGCTTCATGCTTCCAACCACTACTATAAAAAATACTATTCAAGTGGGTGGACAACTTCATAGCAAGCTTAATCTAGGATAGGATTGGAGAAAACACTGATAGTAGACGGTGTGATCTTAAGTGCGCGACTGCGAGAGAGAGAGAGAGAGAGGACCGGAAAGTACAAGATAAGGGTTAGGGAGAGCCCGCTCACTCTCCCTCCTGTATACATAGGATCACTCTTCTCCAAATACATAGTCCCTATCCAGCCCAGTCTCCTATCTGTAGCCTTGATATACTTAAATGCCAGTATTGTAGGCGAGAATGGAGGACAAAATGTTCCATGGTGTCATTGTTGGTTGTCGGAAGCTCTTAACAATTTTGAAGTTCTGTATAGATTGTTTTGTGGGCTTAAAGTTTATTTTGAGGACCGTGTTTTCTTTCTGTAATGTATATTTTATGTAAACCATGTTTTGAGTTGTATATTTTGTTGTGTAGTTACAACTGTGTAAATTATCTTATTTATGCACAAGTTAACGTACCTTTGAGAATTATATGTGATTAAAGGGCTATTTCATCTACACACATCATTCAAGCAAGGATTGACAGTCTAAAATATCCACTATCTTGCCAGATAGAACTTGTTTATACATGATTTTTGGACTCTTTTTATATAGTATCATGTTTTTGTGCATTGTTAGCATATTTTATTGTATTTAGATTATATATGGATGGGGTGGGGTGGGGTGTGACAATAAGTTCCTGTGAGCCCAATAAATCAGCCAACCAATCATGAGAATATTCAGAGGGAAACTAGAAATTACTGATTTCATCAATCAACTTTGGGAAAAAGTTCTTGCCAGTTGATGTCAAGATCAGAATCCTTATTCATATTGTTTTCGATGGTGTTGAGGATCAAATTAAAAGATTGTGGTATAACTCATAGAAAAGGATAAGAAAATTTTATCACTTGTTAAAATTAAAAAGTTTTACCTTAGATATTGGAAAATGAAGTTTGTATGGCCAACAATTGAATAATTCTTGAGGACGACATAAGTGGTTCCTAGTATTAAAATCCATTAAAATTTTTTGAATCATAATATCATGGTATTCTAAAATCCAGATTGGAGTTTCAACACCAATGGTGCATATATATAATTAAATATATGTTAGATAACAGGAGATGCAATGCAATATATACTCATCAAGCATAAAGGACAAAAAGAGAGAGGAGTCCATTTTCAAGAGCTGTTCTTTGTCATGCATCCAACAACGAGTTTTGATGAAGACTACCTCATTTACATTTGAAGCTCTGAAATTAATATTCAATTTATCAATGGCTTTTGATAAAAATAATTTTTTTACGATCAAATTTAATAGATTAATACCATTATTTTTATTAATTTGAACAACAATCATATTAGTAGCTCGAGTATTTTTAGTTATAAAAGTTAGTATTATCATATAAAAAAATAAAAGTTAATTAAGAATGTGATAAAATAAATGATTAATAATGGTAAACAAATCATCAACATGTGATCCTACCCCAACCTAATTGTTACTCCAAATCATAGGACACCTTCTCTTCTTCTTCACCATTCTTGAAACGTAAAGATAATTATAAACATCATTGTGATCTTTGAGATTAAAATGGAGATTTTAGACATGTAGCATCATGTTGTAAAATTTCTTAACTAGCAAACACAAAAGTAAGATAAATTATAAGGTCGAATTGCCACCATAAAGCAGCAGTTGGTCTTAGTATAAACAACATTTAGTGTCAATGTGTGCCTTCAGTGTTACATTTGAATATTCAAGCTCCAAGATAAGAAGAAAGATCAACCGCCAGCTCAACATGGGTAAGCAAACGAAAAGGTTCTAACTAGCCCAATGTGCATTTGTAGACAGAATTTATGAAGTACAATACTATAGTTGGACAAGAAAAGAGTTGCACATTGCTCTCTCGAATAATTTGGATTAAGCAGTTGCTCTATTTTCTACATTATACTGAATTTCGGTACTCTGGAACTGAAGCCACAAATATTTTAGAAAAGAAGTCATGTTACATGTTACTTGGAGTGGCATTACACATGCCAACAGGGCTTTGTAGCCCAGGTTAAATCACTGCCTCTTCTTAAACTTATGAGAAAAGCAATTATTAGAGATGCTGGTACAGTTTTACCAGATAGGGAAGGGAAAATAACAGAAATCAATACTTTCTTAGCCACTAATTTTAACTGGCATAATGCAGTAGGCTGTAACAGTTATCCTCAAATCACTATCACAAAGATGAAAACTGTGTTCTTAGAACCCAAAAATACATTTTGCATTAATCCAATTAGTTTCCCTATTGACTCTGATCTGCTTACACCTCCAAGTCAACTGCCATCCTAAACTCAAAATAGATTATTGGCTCCAGTTTCAAACATCTCAAATCACGTTCTAATTCTAATGAGAATTCCTCCACCATTCATACAAGACAAACAAGTACCCGATTAATCCAATTTCACAGAAAATTTACTTCTTTTCAGTGTTTTCCTACGATGACAATTTACTTCAAGTACTCATCTGATGACAAAAGCTTTTAGCATCTCTATCATCAAAGTTCTTGAAAATGTACCATTCCAATTCACATTATATATCTAAAATTACCAGTATACAAAGCAATATCATCATACATACGTGGGCACAAAAAGATTGATAAACAATACATGAACTCAAAGCAGATTTCTAATAACAATAAAAGAGAAACCTCGTTAGTAATAATATACCAGCTTTGACAAGAGCATCCCATAACTCCTCTGGCAAGATGCAACCATTGTGCTCAACATCAATAGCCTGGAAAATTCTGTACAATTCCAGCTCCTTATCATCCATATATTTCCTGAATTCCTGATAATCCACCCTCCCATCCTGATTTTCATCACAAACATTCAGTAACTCCTTAGCATACTTATAATCCTCCGGAATTTGCAGCGCTGAAAGACCCTTTTCAATTTGGGCAGAATCCAAGTAGCCCACATTATTCGAGTCGAAAAAACTAAACAAACTTCTAATTCTCGAATCTCTCTCTTCTTTCGTCTCTCTCAATGCCGATAAAACATGGTCTAGCGATACTGGACCCGGTTTTTTCACCGGGTTGCAGCCTCCGGACCGGGCCTTTTTCTCCTGTTCTGTGCCTGCGGACGCCATTGCTGGAACATTCACATGCCCCTGTAATTGCCAGAGGGTTGTCTTTATATTGAAATTTAATTTAGGGATCTGTAGAGATAACGGGTTTATGTATAGAAAGTAGAAAAATTGACGGTAATGGAGAGGGAAAGAAGGAACAGAATATTTCGCAAGGATCTTACTTCTCCCAATAAGATCCGAGGAAATGAGCCTTGGCGTTGATTTGGACTTCTTTTTCTGGTCGGGTCATAAGTGGTTTTCAAAAAAAAAAGAGTAAAAACACGTGTTAGCGTTGTTATTACGGGGTGCTTATTCCATTTTCATGCACAAAATAAACAAATAAAATAGACAAATTAATTGTGAAATAATTTGTTTTACTTTCTTTTGTCTGGTCTTAATATGGAATCATTCAATCTTTAATGGGAAGACTTTGAAATCAAATTTGTCTTTCTCAAATTTGTACCTTGTAAAATTTAAGAAAAAATGAGATTAATCAATAACTACTATTTATAAATTGTTATAGTTTGAAATGTGTATATTTATACCGGTTATCGATCCAGCTAAAATCGAAGCATGAATAGATACATGCTCAATCTTCTTGTAACAATGGAATGTTCCCCCGAGCCTCATGTCGATGTTGCAGGGTAAATTTTATTTGCAATACTATACTGTATACTTTCATTTTATTTCAATTAGATAACTCTATTTAGCCGATGTTTGATCCACATTATTTTTTCAACCACACATTTTTCAATAAAATAATATTTTTTATCACATCAATAACGTTTCCTTCATTTTCAATCACATATTCTCCATCACGTGACTTCAAAAACATGCATTCTCTCATTTTAATGTGCACCAGACATGCTCTTAATTAGATAACTCTATTTAAAAAAATATTTGCCATAGTCTAAGTTTCTAGGTTGAATGATAATTTAATGTGCTATAAAAATAGACAAATATAAGAATTCCAGAGAATCAGAAATGTGCTTAAGATGTAGGATCCAGTCTAATTTAAAGTTTACTCTCGCTATTGACTTAAAAATAATCATTGTTCGACAATTATTATTTCAAAACTATTTATTCTGCATTCTTATTTTCAACCATACATTCACACGATAAAATATTTTCACTTGAATTCAAAAAATTCACACTTTTTAATCACATTCTTCAAAAATTCGCTATTCAAAACTTCATTTTTACCAAATAATAGCTATCAAACAGGGTGTTAGATGTTCCTTCGAAACAAGATTTCTACTTCTTCTAGATGTTGATTTGTTCAAAAGAAGTGGTCAATAATTAGACAAGCAATAGTGATCAAAATATTGAGATTATAAGAAATTATGACCAAACACATGTACAAAGAACTATTTATATAGAGACATATTTGTCCACTCGACACATTTGAAAAACCTACTCATAGTGTTTATTTCGACCATCATATTAAGGAGAGGTTCAAGACTTGAAAGTAAGTGACAAGAACAATATAAAGAAGCACCCTCTTTAAGGTTATTTGCATGCATTTAACCTTCCCCCTCCCATGTATACATAACACGAGTTCTTCAACTTTATTCTAACAACCGAAGAAAGGAAGAAGAATAAGGTCGTAAAATACTCGTTACTTTATGTAACTAAGTTCACATAGAAATTCTTATACGAACTAAAAGCTTAGAGATCTCCATGAATACGACGTATAGTAAAAGCTTAGGCTCCAATAGCTTCATACCCTTCCTCTTTTTTGCTCTTAATTCCGAATGCGAAAATAAGAACGAGAATGAATATAACTCCAAACACGATAACACCCAAACCAGGAATGAATATCTTCGTCTCCTCGTGCACCTACATGAAACGAGCACCAAAAATTTGAATTTTTTATTGATTGTTGAAGAAAATCTTATCTACTAAAATTTGAATTTTAATTACACCAAACATGGGCCATATTTACTTCTCAAAAAATTCTAATTATATAAATTTCGTGTTAATTGTTTCAAAAGTTATTGTACTTAGAGTTGGGCCACTAACACATCACTACAAGTATAAAACATTAATTATTCAAATGATATCTCGATCATATAATAAATTATAATTAAACCATTCTTTTTATTTACTGGCCCAGTTGAAAATATTAATTTAGAACATATCTTAAAGTACAACCTTTTTCTTAGTTTCAAATTAAAAATTACTTAATCTAAAATAACTCGTGCTTCATTAACTTATTTATTTTCAAAGTTGACTAATAAAAAAATTATTTATTTGAAAACTTTATTTAGTCTCCATTTGACAAATTTATAAAGAGAAATAGTAATGGATCCAATGGAATATGCGGATGATAATGAATACTGGTTATGAATATTTGGTTGAAATTAATATTTGACTTTGACTGAATTACAAATTATTAACAAATTGTTATCCATATGGAGGCTTAATTACTTATAAGTAAACTTTCTAAGCTTAGCCAAACATGCACTAATCAATACAAAAATAATTACTTGCGTAACTTCTTTTTACTTAAAAGTAAACTTTCCGAACATTTTTAGAAACAAAAAATTGCTTAAAAAGTAATTTATCACTTGTTTGAAAAAAATAAGCAAGTTTTAGAATACATGACTTATTCCATTGCTCAAAGTAAGCTACTTGTTTTGAGAGTACGATAAAAGTTACTTTTGAAACAAGTATCCAAGTTTGTTCAAAAACAAAAGTAACATTTTTTACTTATTTTTCTAAAAGTGTAGCAAAAAACGTTTGCTCTGAACTTATAGAAAGGTTTTAATTTTCGTTTTTCTTGTTTAATCATGTTGAGTCGAACATACAAAACATGATACGAGGAAAAGGAATCTTACTTGAGTCGAAGAATGCAATGCAGTGTCTGGTTTTGTCGATGAATCTGCAACCAAGAGGTAAAATAGCCCCATGACTCCAGTATGTCCCTGTGCTCTGCTATAGTTAGACACAAGAGTTAATAACTCTCCATCAGATATTTTGACAGAGCCAGGTGAAGGGTAACAAGTGGACATTCCCACAATATAACCAGCCTCGTTTCCTGCTTCATTTCCTTCGCCATAAACTGGGTTTGATGAGCATATCACCCTTCCATCCTGGAAAAATTCACCAGGAAAATATGAAATGATGTGTTAATTTTTTTCATGGTATAGATATACGAATTGTTAAGCAAATCGGTTATGTTCTGACATGAAGAAGTAAGGACTCGTGATCCTGAAAACGATGGCTTTGTACGGTGTATTGTAATTTATTGTGAAGAACCACACTGTCGAAAAACTTTAGTTGTTAGAAAAGGGTTGCGTTATTTTATTTAGATTTTGTTTAAATCAGTGTTCTAAAATTCGTTATAACGCGCCGCGTACGCGCGCTTAAGCTCGAAGCGTGGCCACAACGCTCCGCATTTGGTATGTGCGTGCAATAATGCGGTCAACCCTCCGTTGACCACTATAACACGCACAAAGGAACGCGTTTTTTATTTTTTTAAATTTTACTATCAAATAATATATAAATCTTATACATAATAAGCTTCTAACCCATCCAAAGACAGGCCCAGGAAGCATATTAAAATGTCAGTAGGTTGGCCCATTTATTTATAGACAAAATTTATTGTGCTTCTTCTCTAGGATTCCGATGTGGGACTTTGGTTGTGTTACTGTGCTAGCATTGAAACAGACGGCATCCTCATTTTCTGCCCCCTGTTCTTCTTCAGTTCTTCTTGAGTTTCCACCCTCATGTTCTTCATCTTCCCAACGGCAATACGGCATCCTCATTTTCCACTTGTGATTGGCTCGACAGCAATGGGGGTGGCGGGGGCGGTGGTTGGAGCTCCATTGCTTCTCTCTCCTCTCTACAAGAGAACAGAGAATTAGAGATTTGGGGAAAGAAGGTTGTTAATGATTGTGGTGTCAATTAAAATAATTTGATGTTAAAGGGTGGGGAAGATGAACGGTGGTGATGTGGCGGCAGCTTCAGCTAGTCTACCTCTGCCGCTTGGTGGAAATTATCTCAGGTCTTCGAGAACGCACGACTCGATGGAAATTCTCTCAGGTCTACTGGAATTGTTTGGTTTGGGTGGATCTTGTAATTAGGGTTTGGTTTTTTGGGGCTAATCCAAAGAGCGTGGCAATTAATAATGCTCATCACTCACCATTCTGCATTTCTGCAATTTGACACTTTTTTTCCTCTGATAAATTTTTAATTGCTGGGTGAAGAATCAAGAGGGAAGAAAATGGCGTTTCATAGTAATTTAGTGGTTGCGCAATCATCGCTGATCAATGTTCAATCACGTTATCCTCCCTTCTCCAGGTGAACCCATATCTATTTTTGATATTTTTCAGCAGAGTGATTGTTTAAGAACTGAGAATTGGAGCTGTTGATTGAGATTGAATGCAACATTTTGCTGAAATTTACTGTGAAAATCTTAGTGTACTGGGGAATCACAATCTTGTTCAATCCTTAATCCACTGTTTTGGCCTAACAATTCCAAATCCTGCTTCGGTGGAAATTCTCTCAGGTGCTGGAATTGTGTGGTTTGGGTGGATGTTTGGTTGTTTGTATTTCTGTTTTTGAATGGTTAATTGGCAGGAAGTAAAGGAGGAGATACGGGACTGGCCATTGGAGAAGATGAGGGTGTTGATCAGATTTGGGATTGTCAAATTTGCGATGTTAGTCCTCAAGGTTGAAGTTTCAACTATTTTAGTCAGTTAACTTTCAATTAAAATGAAAACGGTCCTTCAATTAAAATGAAAAATGTGAAATTAATAATGATGTGTTAATTTTTTTCATGGCATAGATATACGAATTGTTAAGCAAATCGGTTATGTTCTGACATGAAGAAGTAAGGACTCGTGATCCTGAAAACGATGGCTTTGTACGGTGTATTGTAATTTATTGTGAAGAACTACACTGTCGAAAAACTTTAGCTGTTAGAAAAGGGTTGCGTTATTTTATTTAGATTTTGTTTAAATACATCCATTCACGTGTAGGTTAGATTTTTTTTATTTTTTTTTCCTTCCATCAAAGCCATCAAAGACTTCTCACATGGACGGAATTCATAAATGGGTAATAATCATACTCGAATCTAGATCTTTGTTGACCCTGATATCACGTTGAATTGCTCATCTAAAAGTATAAGTTGTTAGAGAGATGTTACATTTATCTAGAAGAACGCAGGAGAGATAAGATGGGTAGTTAGTCACATCTAATAGGGATCATAGTCAAATTGTTGGTAAAGTCGATGGCTTTTCGAGGGGTCCTCATCTAAGGTCCCTATAAAAGAGGATCAAGTTGGCCCTTGCCACCAATCTGGTGTACTATCTCCTTTGAGCAAAATGTGGCAGAAGAAAAGGAACAGAAGGAATGCACCGAACCCATCATCTCAACCACGGATCATAAAAAAGACAAAATGTTGAAAAATAAGTACCTCCCCATAAAGAGTTGAACCAATCCCTCCTGCATGCTGGTGTGCAACACCATAGATGACATCTCCACTGGTTGGCAAACTAACATTTACTCTTTTAGTATGAATGCAACCATCATTAGCCATACCAATATCACAAGACTCAACATCATACTCAACCTATAATCAAAACAATTCAACTGAGTTATGGAGCCAAAATATGAAGGAACAGAAAAAGAAATCAAATAAATTTAACAGTTTGCCTTTGCATTAGAAATTACTCGAATAACTAGAAAACGGTGAAAGAATCAGGTTTGCTTTAAATCTTCTAGTAGATAAAGCAATGAACTGAATCGAATAGTAAAAACCGATTCTTACAGTATGTCCAATTTCATTGGGATTGAGACTCGGTTTCTTACTGTTGTACTGACAATACTTATTATTATCATCTATCATCTGACAAACAGGATGGAAAAAATTAATCCTATGTTTTCTAAACATGTTATGAGAAATATGTTTGATTTACCTGGCAATAATGTCGAGATCTTACTCCTCTGGATTCATCTGGCCTTGTCCAAACATCAGTAACATCGAGAACATAGATTTTAACAGGCACAATGGAGGCATCCCAATCAATGTACTTCACTGTATACCTCAAGTATAGGCTTCTTTTCACACCCTGAAATCCTTCTTTAACCGTGCATTTTGTCTCGTCATAACAACATTCTAAGCCACCGTAATAATCAGGTGGCAAAACACGACCATGCTTGTCAACTGTGATATTATACAAATCACACCTGCACTCGGTGCACCCCAACCTATCTCGAACACCCCTAGTATCAATTACATGCACATTAACCATCCATTTCTCCTCGTATCCATCTGGGATCTCGGCTTGATTTCCAATCTCAATTCCGTAAGGGTCGGGCACATGTGTGGCCGTTTTTCGTGTCTCAGATCCTATTCCAAAGTAGTGAGATAGACCACGATCACACACACCATTATTCCTTACAATAACATAATCTGATTGGTCGAACCCCCTTTTTCCGTGGTACTTTCGAATATTGACTCCTTTTCGTTGATGGTACCTTAGAACAACCCAATGGTGGAGATAAGTTTCATAAAGGGGGACCGGATTCCCTGCCTCATCAATTACTTCTGCATTGAAACTCTTGAGTGCAATATGGCCTCGAGGAAAATCAATATCGTAGTATTCTTTGTCGGAAACAGATCCAGGTTCTAGCACAAATTTAGGGGATAGAAAAACCGCAGTTTTCACCCCATTTTCATTGCTTAAATGAGGTTGTTCTGAACTTTTAACTGTAGTAATTAGCAGTAGAATTGCCAGGCAAGACAGCCACCAGTATGAAGTACAAACCATTTTTTCCTTACCTTCGTCCTAGTAAATCTGAGGAAAGTATAGATAGGAAGCAAAAAATCAATATTATGTGTTTACTTCTGATATTCCTAAAGACGGCAAAATCATTCTACATTTTACGGTTACTTCAATTATGCCAAAATAATATTCGAGAAATGGCAGTAATATCCAAACAGCAAAAGATATTTTTGTCTTCATCCTTTTTTGGCTGGTAAGAAGAAATTCGCATAAATTCAGCACGATTCTTGAAAAATGGAGAACCAGACGGCACGTCGGCAACACCAACTAAACCTTAATCATAATAAACTAAGGTGAGCTACACAGACGAACAAATTTATTTTAAAATTTGGATTCTTTTTTATTTTTCATCAAAGCCCACAAACATTATAACAAAGAAATCTGAACTCTGATATCATGCTGAAGCACCACATCTAAGCTCTTCAATACATAATTCTTTTTCCCTTATCGTTCTAGATAACAATTTGAAAACTCTACCGAAATCGTACTTTTGCAACCACAATTACCGTTAATTTCTGTCTACTTCTTCCTCTTATAGCATGTTCTACTCAATCTAGTTAAGCCCATGTTTGGTTCAACTAGAAAAATGGATGAAGTCAAAGTCAACAATTAATTTTAAAAACACAGATGATGAGATGCACAACTTTTGAACTAAACATTCTATAACCTTTTATCCATCAAAATCTACTGTTTATCTAAACCAAACAGTAGGTAAATCTACGCTAAACATCTAATACACCCTCCTATGCAAACAAAACAAGCCAATTCGGGAGGCAATCGAAGAAGAAAAATCAGTTAGTGAGAATGGACATAGATTTATATATATCTAGAGACTCTATTCAGCGGAATTGAAAAGGTAACAAAAGAAAAACATAGAAACAAACAATTTCGCATGCATATATACCTCTTACATAAGTTTGCTACCAAGAGATAAACAATGAAAACGTTACCCGATAAGGTTGTGGTTCTAACAATCTCAGCAAAGCATGCAATAGCAGAAGCTTAGTGTCAAAGTGAATATTCAGACTGCTCAAGAATAGTTTTAATACAATACAAAAGGCGATATCGAGACAATTTCGCTGAGATCAGTGATTACGTTTGAAAAAATCATATTTTTATTTACAGTATTTGCATATTCCCATATGATCCCATTTTTCTTCGAGAGAGAGAGAAACAATGGTAATATAGTATACTATATCTGCAGTCAAAAACTTTATTAATATAGTAGTAATTTTCTAGAAAATTTTAGCCTGTGACATACCAAGATTTGAAATCTTATCCAGAAAAGACAGTAGGGAAGTTACCGAATCATGCTATACCGAATCTTTTACCCACTTCTCACAATGGGGACGGAGACCACATTGTCGGAATTTTTAAATACACGCGGACCTCGCGCATTATGTGAGAGGAGGTAATCCATTATGTACAAATGGATTAACCCATGTTAAAAAACCATTTATCTCGGTTTGGTCCCATTTTTTTAAAATTTATTTTTCTTCAAATTCATTTTTAATTATGTAATTTATGGAATATAAAAATTTCATCAATTTTTTAACTATATATTTTACTAATTTTTATTAAAATTTACAAAAAAGAAATTTGATTTTTAGCCGAATCAATGACTGAAACGGGGAATTTGTCGTCGAGTTTGAGGAAATGAAAATCTTCTTTCAATTAATTATAACACCCCGTTTTATCTCCATTATTGTTCCAATAATGCATTTTCACATCAAATCAAGTGAGAAAGCCTACATGTGACACTCTCATTTCATTTTTTCAATTCTTGCAGCTGTACATTTTTGACCTTTTATCCTCATTTGTAGATTGTACGGTGGAACTGGAAGTAATTAAGTGGTTTGAAATGTCAAAGGTTGACACATTGAAAACAAATGAAAGCAATTTTTACCGACATGAGTGTCGTGTAGCTTGTACAACGTATGGTTTCGGACCTGTATTTTTCGGAGGGCAATTTACATGGACGAAAATTTCCCGTTTACTTACAAACATGTAGATCAGAACGGCCAATTGAATTTTAAAATTTTGGAAAAAATTATTTCGCTTTCCGGAAACGAAAGAAATTTCAAACCAATTGAAATACCATGACATCGACATGTATATACAGGGGCGGAGCCAGGAATGAATGGTACGGCGGGCAAAAACTTTTTAAATTTAATGTACGAATAAAATTTATATATAACAAGAAAAATTTGGCACGATTATAACAAGAAAAATTTAACATGGCTAAATTCTCAAACTAACATTTCCTAAATAAATTCCTAATTTAGCACAATCTTTAATACGCCCTTCAAGCATCTTCACCGAGACAAAACTAGAAAATTTAGCACGATTATCTCTACTTCTACATGCAAAGATATACATAATCCGTCACCACCCAATTTGTCAAGCATTACAATTCTCCAATAAAAATTATGGCCTATTGACAATTCACAATTTCAATTGTCTATCATCACAACACCACACGTGAACAAATAAAAATCACAGCTCAATGAGTAAATGACTAAATCACAACTTTTATCCCCAATTTTCACTCAATTACAGTTAAATAAAAATCATTAAAATACATCAAATTGAGTATAAGTTTGCAAAAATAAACAAATTGAACATTGAACAAGCAATTAGAATCCAAAAAAATTTCAAAAATAGCCCAAGAAAACCATTCATAAATGAAAATCATAAAATAAAACTGTAGTACTTGTGATAGGGGCGATCCGGCGGAGCACTGAAGAAGAAGAAGAAGAACTGTAGTACTTGTTGAAGAACAAGAACAGTGAAGGCTGTGGAAGGGGCGGAGCACTGAAGTCTGAAGGTTGAAGCTTTGGCCTGTTGCTGAAGAACATTGAAGGTGAAGCCGGAAGCGGTGAAGGACCGAAATCGAATGTTGATTCTACTGACTGCTGAAGAAGATGACTTCGGCCATTCGCGGGACGGCGAAAAAATATGGGTGAAACCCAAGGGCTGCTCAAATCGGACTCTGAAGAAAAAGGATAATGCCTCTTGTACAACCGAAGAAAAAATAGGGGTGATACCGTGAAAACTGGAAGGGTTGGGAAAATGAAAATCAATTGGGTTTTCAATTGGGCATTTGGGCTACTGCCTACTGGGCTTGAATAGTTGGCACTGTGGGCTACAACCATTTTATTTATAATTTTACTATATCTGGGCTTGGGCTACACTGGGCTACAGCCCAGTTTAGCCCACCACTAGATCCGCCCCTGTGTATATCAATTTATTTTTCAATGTTCATAGAACACTAGACGTGTGCCGGATGTTAAATTCCTAAAACATTATATCTTCATTGTTGTTGTGTCATATAATCGCGAAGTTTGTCATACTCACTTCGTTGCATTTCAAGTACATTCACTTCGACATACATTTCGTTTTCAGCGTTAGGTAGCTCTACCTCAATTGCATCGACATCCGTCTCTGCTCTCATAAATGCCTCGTCCACAAATCCAGAACGACGTAGGAAATTATGAATACACATCATTGCTACGTCAACTGCAACTACTGTTTGAAATGAGTAGCTAGGCATATGGTCAATGATTTGTCATATTTACTTCCACACACCAAAGGCACGTTCAATGACCTTTTTGCACGAAAAGTGTCAACGTTAAACCTCTCACGAGTATTCCGAAAATTACGATAATGACTTGTTCTTTCGTCGCAGAACTGTTGAAAATGGTACAATATATTTGAATCCTTGTATGGGGCCATATATCCTGACCGATGAGCAAAATCGAAGTCGACCAAATAATACTTACCCAGCGCTGGTAATGGAATGTGTATTTCTGGATTGTATATAGTACGAACTAGTATTCGAACATCGTAGCCAGCACAAATGATAAGTGCATTTTGTGCACTTATTTAGGCCACAAAACATTGAAAATTGTCGATATATATATTGAAATACGGCTTAATTTGATATGATTTGTGTTTGTAGGATTACATTGATAGATGGAATGAAGAGTACACAAAAGCGAGCAAAAAAAGGACCAAACTGGAAGAAAATGAAATTTCGATGACCAAAATGCAATTATTCAGAAAATGACTCGAATGGTGAATCAAGCATGGACTTGGACTAAGTAACACATTGTGATGTCAAGGAATGCTAGAAGAAGAAGGGGAAGGAAGTAATGCCAAAAGGTAAATAAAATAAAATTTGGGGACCAAAGTGAACTAAAAGGAAAATACATTCTACCATGCAGTCGCATAGTAGAAAGTTCATGCAGTCTCCCAAGCACCAACATGAGATGAACAGTGCCAATTTTTTATAACCATGCAGTAG